TATCTTTTTCTGTTTTTTACTTCTTCATTTTATCTTTGGATACCAAACAAGGTATTTTCAACATTGTCTGATCAGCCTTCAGCAAAATAAGTGGGTTTTTACCCTCTTGTTACCCCCCAAAGACGCAAAGTATTATGGGGATGTGAAAGTAGAGAATAGCTTATTTAATTTGGAGTACAGTGCCTGGCAGACGTCTTTGTCTCTAGTGGAGGGAAGCCACTAACAAACAGGATAAATTGGTATTTGTTTTATTTTTTGTTTATAGGATCAATAGACCTCTTGGGTGTAATGTATATCCGTTTCAGACCACTGGTCATTCGCTAGAGTAGCATTGCTGTGTTTAACGTTTGTGCATTTGCAGACATAAATACGGATACAATTTAAACAAAAAATCTGTGGAAATCTGAAATGGGAAAACATATCCCTCAAAATCAAGCTAAAGAGGTTTGCTACTCTTTAGGTTTTATCGTAAGACGTCCCTCGTCTATAGTCACCATGCTTGAAGCTGCCATAGGTCTAACAGTTGAAAGGCGTGGCACTTCACGTGTGTATATTACCGTTCAACCATCCTATCGCACTAAGACATGTGGACTCTGCGGTACTTTTAACAGCAACCAAAATGATGACTTGCTAACGAATGAGAATGTCTTGGAGAGTGACGTGGTGTCGTTCGGTAATTCTTGGAAAGTGGATGATTTGTGCAATGACACTAGAGCTGTACAACATGCATGTGATGTGCAAGTACAGCGCAAGGCCTACGCAGATAAGATGTGCAATAAACTACTGCAGGTAAGACCCACGCGCAAACAATGATACTAGATAGAGCTGTACAACATGCATGTGATGTGCAATGGGTATGCAGATAAGATGTGCAATAAACTACTGCAGGTAAGACCCACACGCGAACGATGATACTAGATAGAGCTGTACAACATGCATGTGATGTACAAAGGGTATGCAGATAAGATGTGTCATATACTACTGCAGGTAAGACCCACACGCGAACAATGATACTAGATAGAGCTGTACAACATGCATGTGATGTGCAAGTACAGCGCAAGGCCTACGCAGATAAGATGTGCAATAAACTACTGCAGGTAAGACCCACACGCGAACAATGATACTAGATAGAGCTGTACAACATGCATGTGATGTGCAAAGGGTATGCAGATAAGATGTGCCATATACTACTGCAGGTAAGACCCACACGCGAACAATGATACTAGATAGAGCTGTACAACATGCTTGTGATGTACAAAGGGTATGCAGATAAGGTGTGCAATATACTACTGCAGGTAGCACCCACGCGCAAATGATAATGTTTTCCCCATTTTCATTCGGCAAATATTATCCATACAATTTATCTTTTATCTTTTCCCCCCAGTTTCCATTCACTAATTGCCATCATGTTATTGATCCATCGGACGGCTACATCGATCGCTGTCGATTCGATGTGTGTGGCTGCCAAGCTGGAACAGACTGTCTTTGTCAGGCTGTAGCTCATTACGTTCACGACTGCGCCAGCAAAGGAGTAGTGATCAACTGGATCAACTCGAAAGTTTTACCGGAATGTAGTAAGTAGTGAGTGAGAGATGATTCAAACGCCCTGTTGAATTGAGTGATATACGGTGTATCTTGGCGTTTTAAAAAGAAGGGAGTATGGTAATACAAATCATAAAATAACTGTTATAAATCTCGCGTTCTGATTGGTTGGGAGCGCGTGCTTTATGAGAGCAAACAGCACGCACGCGCACTTTCAGTAGCGTCATTCCTATCTAAAATAAAGGTTATTGTAATTTTTATTTTATAAAAGCAGGAGAAAAAAAAACTTGCTTTCTTGCTGTGCTGTGTGGAGTTATAAAGCACTTGGGGATTGGCAGAACACTCGAGAAGTGTCCGCGACGCGTCGTGGTACATGTTTTTCCAGTTCAGACTGCATATCTAATCGCTTTGATAATTATTTTATTCCTTATCGGTCTATTCTTGCATTGCGCAGGTTCTGGCTGCAGCCATAGCGGACAGGTGTACCACGAGTGCGGTCCAATGTGTAACCGAACTTGCCTCGAGCTGTCGTCTTTAGTTTCTTGTCGTGAGAAAACGTGCATTGAAGGCTGCAACTGCCCTGCTGGCATGGCATTAAATGACCAGCATAAGTGCGTACCCTACGGATCATGCCCCTGTTATTATGAAGGTCGTAGCTTTGCACCAGGGACCGTTATAAAACCAACAAAGTGCAGTGAATGGTGAGTGATGTGCTAAACACGATTAATTAAAAATGGCGCGTAAAATTATTAAAGGTTTAGTGAATAGAGGCTTTGCATCACCACGTGACGGCAGCCATGTTAGATGGCAGGAACGATATACAGTTGTTTTACATGAGAAGCAATTCAATTCCCGAAAGCAAAATGATTTTATTGTTCTACCACCTAACCAAAGGCAGTCCAGCTGTATTATGGGCGTAGACACGTGATGGTCCAAAGCCTCTATTGTGAGCACGACATTGAGCAGTGGCGGGTCCAGGGGTGGTTCCATGGGTTCCATGGAACCCCACTTTTTGTGACATCTTGTGAAGCCAATCATGCTGACTTATTCTCATGGCTCAGTAGAATGAAATTGGAGCCTCCTTTGTGAAGCCAATCTTACCAGAATTTTTTTGCTTGGCGGCCATTTTGAAACCATTTTGAAGTAAATATGGGTAAAACACGCAAAATTCTTGCATGAAATGAGGAAGGAAAAATAGAAAACCAGTGGTTTGTTTGCCTAGATTCCATGCACAATTGAAACGCTTAATCCTATCAAAGATCACAAAGCAATTCCTATTTATAGTGACAGTAAATCATATGATTATTTTATTGACAGCCATTGTCATGATGGAAAATTTCAATGCACTAACAGGACATGTGAAGGTGAGAATACCGGATTGATTACATGTATTTATTATTGAACGTCACTCTCCTCATTCGATAAATACCGCTGTGTTTTATGACTAAAGACTCAACTGCACAGGCTTAGCCTCGCTTAAGGGTAAATCATTAACAAAAGTCAGATCTAGTGTAAAGAATGTGAAACTTAAACAATACCAATGTTTTGAAATCCCAAAGACTTTTCATGGTATCTGTGAATAGCTGACTTATAAACGAGGCTAAGCCTGTGCAAATGAGTCTGTGGTCTTCAAAAACAGCGGTATGCATTGAATACGAAAATGGTGTATTTCTGGTGTGGGAGCCTGTGGTTCTAATACAGTTTCTGTATTTCTTAGTTTGTCCTCCTGGCCAGGTTTGGGTTACCTGTGGAGCCCAATGCCAAAGAACCTGCAACAATTTCCATCTTCCTTGCCTCGATACCAAGTGTCGCCATGGATGTATGTGTCCGCAAGGCCAAGTATTGAACGGTCAGCGGTGTATTAGCTCCTCAGGTTGTTTATGTCATCATGGTGGCCAGAAATACCGACCTGGACAAACAATACAGATAGACTGTAACAAATGGTATGATGTATATGAATATTCAACCAGCTGATCTAAAATAGTGATGTAGAAATGACGTCACTGCAAAACTGAGGTGTCTGGAAGCCTGTGAAAATCGACCAGCAAAAAATAAAAATATTCCTGTCATTGCAATAAAAATATAAAACTCATTAGTTTTTGTGTTACTGGTATCAGCCTATTATTAGCAATTTTTCTTTTTTTGTTTGGTGGCCTGGGAATCCATAATTCCAATAAGAAAAGTGACACTTCAGTTTTGCGAATCTTCTTGATACTGATTCACTAACATTTTCTCTCGGATCAGCTGGAGTAGAGTAGACTTTTTACAATTAAAAATAACCCGGTCACGGTACGGCATTGGTAATGTCCCATTGGCTGTGCTAAGCTAGTACACGCCAATACCGTGTATTTATAGCCGTTAACTCTCAATCATATACGACCAACGAGGCCAACGACCATCGAGATCAAACACAGTGACGGTCCGAAATAGAGTTTTCGTGGATGTAAATCAACAGCTAGTTCACTGTATCTGTTTTTACTTGCAAGTTTTTGAGTAACGTCCACGAAACATAGTTCCATACAGCGACAGCCGTAACCATCACATTGTTTTAATAAGTGTCGCTTATTTTTCCTTGGTTTTTCATCTTCAGTACGTGCCGTGGCTCACAGTGGTCATGTTCACAACACATCTGTCCAGGGACTTGCTCAGCATATGGAGACCCAAACTACATCACATTCGATGGCAGGAGATTTAGATTCTCAGGGGCTTGCGAGTACGTATTTGCTTCAGACTTTTGTGATGGACACAACGGCACCTTCAGAATACAGACCCTTAATGTCCCCTGTGGATCTACAGGCGTGACGTGCACAAAGAAAATCACCGTTACCCTTGGCGACACTGTCATCCAATTGGAAAGGGACAGTAAACCAAAGGTAACGCCGTTACCAGGAGCAACGGTCTATACCACGAGGTATTCTATACGCGAAGTCCACTTTTTTACTGTGATTGAAACGAAGATCGGCTTGACTTTGATGTGGGACCGAGGTACAAGAATATATGTAACACTCAGCCCGGAATTTCGAGGTAAGACGATGTAAAATTGTCTATATGAAAACTAGAATGGATTTCAAGGTAAAGATATAAAACAAATGTGATACACGAAATCCCTGCAGATGACCACTGCATTGCCGACTGCATACTTTCTGATTACCTAATTCTCACAGTCTTAAAAAAAGTTTTTTTCTTAAAACTAATTTCCTATAGTCTGACTTGTTTAAGGAAAAACCTGTGGTTTTTGTGGCAATTTTAATGGTGATCGTTCTGATGACTTCATGACGCCTCAAATGCTTCCAGAAGCGCGTTCAGACGCGTTTGGGGACAGCTGGAAGGTTGAGCCATCCTGCCCTGACGCCTTGCCTGTCGCTAATCCTTGTGAACAGCACAAGAATCGACGTCCTTGGGCACATAAGATGTGTAACATAATCAGAAGGGATGTCTTTCAACCATGCCATAGTGTTGTAAGTTTCGACTAATATTTTATATATTATAAAATATTTTATTTTTCAAACTACGATAAATATATTAAAATCAAAGCAATCGAACGGTATCAAAAGGCTGTGTACACCTATTCCCAAAAACGTTTCATCGCCATAGGCGATATTTGACACCGATCGGGTCCGTAGCTGGAAAACTGTCTGCCCACACTTCAGATCATTAAGGCAGGAATGCTGTTAGTCTAGTAATTATACAGCTTCTCATTAATCCCATATAGGTAACTGTCCAATTATTTTCTTAATTGGACAGGTCTTGTTGAAATGGGATTAATTAGGCACCTATATAATTAATAGGTAATGGGATTTCATGCTCCCCAATCAAGAAATAATTAGACTTGAAAAATTTTCCTCGTCCAATTATTTCTTAATTGGACAGCATGGAGTCCTATTACATATACTTACGTTATTGTAAGTGTATAGGTGTCCGTTCGCCTGCCCCTCATGAAGCTTGGTCGCTTTTGTATTTATCGTCATTTTTTGTTATCCTTTGTAAGTCAAACTTGATTAAATCCTCTAAATAAAATAAAATAAAATAGGCGATAGGCGACAGGCGACATGCGACAGGCGACAGGCGACAGGCGACAGGCGACAGGCGACAGGTTATTCCAAGACGGAAATGGTTTTGTCGAATGCGAACAACATTGCAACAGTCTCAACACTAAGGTTCATATTCTTGACGAGAATAAGAAGCACAACTATAATCCATTCCAGCTATTCTTGGATCTTGGAATTACCTACCTTCTATTGCTCTTTGTCTATTGCCTATTACGTATCGCCTTTGGCGATGACAACGTTTTTGGAAATATGTGTATACTAGAGCTGCACCAAGTGAGCAAATTGGTTAGTAGAAAATTCGAATACATTATCATGTTTTTTTGAATATCTAAAGGTTGATCCAGGCCCTTGGTATGACGCATGCCTGTACGACACCTGCGCTTGTGACAGTGGTGGTGACTGCGAGTGTCTTTGTACAGCGATCGCAGCTTATGCACATGCGTGTAGCAGTCATGGTGTCCCAATAACTTGGAGGACTCAACAATTATGTCGTAAGTGAGCTCAACGTCATCAGAGTTTTATTCAGTGAAATTGGCAAACAAAAATATCAGGGGCCACTTCTGACGGATGTGTACATACCATTTTAGAGAGTCTATAGTGCGGTCTTCACTCTCCCTCATTCAGTGGTTCGCTTAAGCTTCAAGAGTATCTAAAGCAAAAGCTAATATGAGAAAAATAAATGTGTCTGGAGTTCACTTTGACCTTCAGACCTCTAGCTTGGTTGCATGACTGCGCCTTAACCAATGACCAATCCACATTTCCTTTGAGATTATTATCAAAGGGTTTATAGCACACTATCTAATCAGGCAACACCCTTTGGTATAGGAAAGGGACTGACGTAAGAGCAGAATCTATTTTAACGTGAGACTCTTATGGTAAGGTCACGGTCACGAAATTGACGAATCCATTGAACAAAGACAATGAGCGATGCATGAGGAATGCGCGCGCTTGTTTCACGGTCACATATGATAACTTTTTTCATCCATTACTGCAATTTTCACAAACATGCGAACTCTGTATTTCCGAGCTGTACGCGGAAGTTTGGTTTTTCGCTGCCGCCAGTCAAAAATACGAAAGGTACCGACTTATTAGATTTAAAAAAAACGAAAAAAAAAAAAATTTCGGCATGCAGCTAGCAAGTTTGCATGTTTATGAAAATAGCATTAATATGGTACGTACGTTTTCTTGTTGTAGCAATACAGTGTCCTCAAGCAGGAAATGCTGTTTCAAAATACCAAGCTTGTGTTTCCGTCTGTCCCGAAACGTGCTCGTCTTCCTGTTCTTCATCCCAAGTCAAGTGCCCCTTTAGATGCATCGAGGGCTGCGCATGTCCAAATGGAACCGTGATGCACGATGGGAGGTGTGTAAAACCACGTGACTGCCCATGTGAACTGGATGGCACTCTCCATCAACCAGGATCCATTGTTATCAAAAACTGCCAAAAATGGTAAAGAACTTAATTGTAATTTAATTTCCTTTTATAAATAGATGATAATAGATTTCTTGTTGGCAACTTAAACAACAATCAACCAAAACAAATTTCGTCATCGTACGCCCACCTATATCTCCTGTCTTGGATTTGCCACGGTTTTCGTTGTTGCTACGCTGTAATCGAGAAAATTACAATTTTAAGTTAGCATTAAATAAATGAGTACGGTTCCATTGTACGGTTCCATTCACTGTAACGATTTATTTAATTGACTACTGCCGATTAACATGTGGTGACTTTTGTCACGATCAGCGCGTAGCAATGAAAACAGTAGTAATTCAAGTTTTTGAACTGAAAATAATTCTTTACTTTCAACACAGTAAATGCGAGAGAGGCTGTTTAACATCGTGTCATGGACCAACATGTGCTCCGACAACACCAGGAACGATATTATCAACGACCATTACCATGCCAACCACCAAGATCACCAAGGCAACGACTAGATACGTACTGACGTTACCTTCCACCAAACCTGTCTCCATGAAAACAGAGAAGAGTACTGCGCCACCGCTCACAGAATCCACAACGAGTATTGTAACAACCAACAAGACGATCCAAACCACGGAAGCACCAGCACCTACCACTAAGAGTATATATGTTGGTACTGTAACAGAGAGCACACCAGGGAGTGAAGGACAAGTAAAACCTACTCAGTTGAACTGGACTACTACGAGCAAATCAAGAAATATCACTACTGTTGTGACTACACAAGTGTCCAGCAACGCCACACAAGTACCTACTACTATGGTAACCACGCCTTCTACAAATGAAACTACAGTGGTAACCACGCCTTCTACAAATCAAACTACATTGGTAACCAC